TGGCATGTTTACGGACTTAAGGAATGGAACGTTCTCGAATATCGTAAAATAGCAAAAAAAAGCTTTCTCAATATTGTTTATTAATTTAAAAATGAAATTCTTTCAGTTAAATACGTAGAGCGAAAATTACCTAAAAAGTGTCTAACCGACATGTTGTGTGAGTAGATGCTATCTGAAGAAGCAAGAAAAGTACCTCCAGTTATCTTCACCTTGATTAGAATTCCCTACTCCGTGGAACCTACCTACAGAAACAGAACACCGCCAAATGGTACTGTTATTTACTGTGTTCTTCTGTAAGGACAATGTTATTTACCTCTTCCACACCTGCGTCTATCACCACGAAGCTTCTTCTATGAACACGATAAACGCAAGTGCGGGAAAGTCAGTAGCGGCTATCGTAACGAACTATCGGGCTGAGTGACGATAGATGCTACACGATAGGTTGACTGGCTTTTTTTGACACGCATCAAAGGGGTTATTGGGGATGATAAATTTGTGTCTGCAAATGAAGGAGCATACAACCTCGTCTTTAGCGCAGAAAATTTGGGTTTTAATTTCCCCCCCAAACTAAATTAGACTATATCACGTCGATTTCACTTGATAATATGCCATAATAACGTAGATAAATTTTCGTGGGACACAGCTAGTAACTTGAAAAATAAGACGCTAATTTTAGCGCAATAAGTAGCTTAGTGTCGCAGCACACGGGCCACACGCCACAACCACAAACGCCGCTACGAGAAGCTAGAAGCGGCTACTAAAGTGGGAGAGAGTGGTGGGGAATCGCGCGAGTGACGTGTGGCGGCGTTTTGTATCGGCGCATTAAGTGGCCGGTGCGGGCCACAAGAAGCGAGCAACGACGATTTGTACCGTGTGGCGGCCACCGGCGTATCGTGTGTGGCGAGTCCATATAAAATGTATGAAAACTACAAGAAATATGCCGGTGGCCGCGTTTTGTGGTTTTGGTCGGTGGCCCGTGTGCGGCGACACTTATACATCGTCACGCAGACGTGCGAGAAGCACCAGACATTCCCTCTTTAAACTTTTAAAAACATTAAACCTCTCCTATTTACTTCTAGAAGCACTTGAAACTACTTAATGAGTACCTAAGCGCCTTTAATCTTGGACAATGCCTTTCTTTAACGATCTGTTTTAAAACCGGGATAAGTTAATAAAAAAGTTGAAATGTCACTTTGTAACTTTCGCGGGAGAGAAATTAAGGTTAATCTCCGACGTTTTAAGGTTTCCGTCGTTTTCTTTGACTTATATATTGCGTTTTTTGTACGATTCTTGGGGCATTGTCCTTAAAGATAGATAGATTATACACTATATAGGTAATTATATTCAATTGCGAGATAAATACTAACTATAGCTACGGAATCTGAAAATGAATCTCGTAATTAATTTCACTGGTTAATTGTACCATGTCTTTATCTTAAGACTAATTTTATGACATTTCTGTGAGGTTTTCAATTGCTTTTTTTCAAAATGTTCACGTCATATCTGAAGCACATATTGGATACCTATAGGACAATGTCTGATTGGATTTAAAAACCGACATACACGCTATTTCTTAAGACACACAAATTATATTATAACCAATATAAAATTTTGATCATCAGTTAATTGCGTCTATAGAACAGAAAACAAGAGTAGAAGCGGCATTATTTCGTTTTAGTACCAGCAGCACAAAGTGTTATTGCTCAATTTTGATACTTTTTAACTTTTTACAGTGCTCATTAGAAAGGTATTTCCAAGGACTTTAAAAAGTGTTCAGGAAGTATATGTCACAAAATGCATCGGTTTCCCGTTATTAAGGTTTAGATATAAGTACTCGCCGAAAAAAATATACGTACAATTTCCTATAGCTCACTTTGAATTAATATTAGAAGGTTTTTCAAAGTAGGGGTTTGTTTGTTTTTTTATTAGCTTTAATTTTGGTAATAATACATCTTTTGTAAAAACTCATAGTCTTTGAGTTATTTATAAAAACCGCTTTAAAACATGTATTTTTATCACGAAAAATCCTAATATTTGGTCTTGAGTAACTCAGAAAGTATTGATTTATTCCAAAATCTTTAGAAACACTGATAATTTTAGAGGTTTTTAATGAAAGGTCGTCAATAAACACATTTTTATGCGCTTACATTGCAAACGCTGGCTTAATCCTACGAGATAGATCAAAATAATGTACAACAGTATTGTACACCTTAAAAAGGTCTAAAGAAAAGTCCGAGACGGTATATGTCTATCTCTTAGGGATAACCCACAATAACCATTTTTTATCCTATACTTTTTACGAGAAATAATAGCTTGTTTACGAAGCGATTTTCAGCAATACAGCATTCATCCTTATCCAATTAAGTACCTTAAATTTATTGTTTAATATAGATCAATTTGGCCCTTTACAGCGTGTAGTTTAAATGAATATTTTCGAAGATATTACAGATTTAAAATGCAGGGACATAGCCGTTCCGGCGTTAACGGGCGACCGGCGAGTGCCTATTGTAGTTACGTATTAGAAGATAATACAAGCCTGAGAAAAAACACTATAGTCTTACACTACAGCTTGACACCTAAGCGAAGCGAGGGCGGGCCACTAGTATAAGATAAAACAGTCGAAATGAGGATCTACAGTGTTAAACCAATATTATGAAATGTATTCTTAAAATTTTTTAATTTTCACAATTCCCATTCAACACATTTCTCTTGAAAAATGAATTGAATTAAGAAAAGTTTGACTTTGATCAATATCAAATATATAATATCACGTGCTTGATATCGATACCGATTACACACTGTTATTTTTTAATATATGCGCCATTGGAATTTACACCAATTTTAACCATGGTGAAAGCATCGTGGTTACAAGAGCTAAAATTTAAATTAAAAGTACAAATCAAGCGCACAGTTTTATTTGTTATTGATAAAAGTCAAACTTTTCTTTATTTAAATATTTTCTCAATCAACATTACTTATTGCATAATATATATATTTTTATATTAATCTGACTGTATTATCTTAATATGGTGTTTTAATTAAGAGCTGTTGCTAATGTCATTATTTCACCCCCCAACTGACACGTGCTCCACTTGACCCGACAGGCCTCCTGCCGATGCGTTGACCCAACTACCTACTTATGTAGTGCAAAGTCCCCCGGGACCCCTCCATATTGCATCCTGATTGGGTCATCATAATGTCATTCCACTGATAGATTTATTACGCTGGCGTATCTACTTAATAATAGAGATATTGTACAACATATTGGGCTGTAATGAGATGTTTTGTAACACGAGAGGTAAGGTAACTGGGTAGTCTTGCAATATTACGGTTTAAGACAGGTAGGGCATAGCAGGTTTTCCGCTCGAATACAGTATTTGACAAGTTTTAGAAAACGATCTCACGTCATTTATAATGTTTATAGAGTCCATACAATGTGGATATTTTTGAGTGTAATTCAGTAAAAAAACTAAATCAAAAATTCAATCTTCAAGTTGCCGCGTAAACGTTCCTCTGGACATTATGGCGTATACACTAGTGTGTGACGTCACATAGGGGACGGGGACGGTGCTTAAACGAATTCCTCCAAAAAGAGGCCTTGACCACGTGGAGCCCTTCAACGGATCGAGTGAGAAGCACTTTTGATCGCATGCGTATATAGGCTACGGTGGCCGCTTACCATCAGGCAGGCCACACGCTTAATTGCCACCCCTTTATCTCAAAAAATATCACATAACTTACAGCCGTGCTCAGAAGCGTCAAATTAATTTCTAATCATGTACTAAATCAAATGGCTGTCTCAGTCTATTGTGATATCAAAGAAAGTGGCAGCATCAACTTTAGTCAAACTTAAAAGTTAATTTACTTACTTTGCGGCGCTCGTACGCTAAAACTATTGACTTAATGAAAAAAAGGTAGATATATGAATTGTACGCAGTTGTCTCTAGTTTCATTTTATATATACATAATTGTTTTTATCGTAAAATGAGTCGGAAAGGAGATATTGTCAAAAAACTGCTTTTAGGCGCCATTTTTCCAATATATCCAATATATGGCAAAGTCGAAATTAGGAAATAGCACCTCAAAATCTATAAAATTACCAATTTCCAAAACTCCCGGATAACTTTCCAGGTGAACTACCAAATGACTGTACTATTAAACGAATTCAAACTTTAGTCTACTTACGTTTTGTAAGAAGGGGCATAATTCAAGGTTGGTGATGAAAATTGACATCTATAGGTAGCTACTTAATTTAATTGCAAAAAGAAAAAAATAGTGTCACCAACCGTTAACATCTCAATAACTCATACATTAATAACATCTCTCATAACAATTGTATGCAGAATGCTCGCAAAATAAAGCTCGAATTCCCAATCTAAACCTAACCTACTATGGCCAAACTAAGTGTCGGACTACCAGTATTCTTAAACATGTTACTTTTTTCACTCTTAGATATATGTAATCATCAGTTATGTGTTTTTGGTAATTTTAAGTCACAAGAAAAAAAAATCTATTAAAATATCAACCACGTAGTAAGGTGAATTCAGAGTTCTGCTTTTTTAAGGTTCCGTACTCAATTAAAGGGTTATGTTGTCACCAGACATTTTTTTTAAAAAATTAATAATGTACGATATAGCACGGAGACCGCTGTGTTATATACGACTCACGCTTGGCCGGTTTATTTATTTCAAAAGAGTAGAGTTGCTCTATGTTCAAAATGCCAGTTCAACAAAAAATCATACAAAAAATATCACAAAGGGTACCCTTAGTCACAACTTCAAAGTAATACGTTACGTTAAAAACGGCGTCCACGAGAGTTGAACAAACTATAAATGGGCTTCACCTATTATGTTTTGTCAATTTGCAACGCGAAAAAACCTAGACGGAACAAACACGAAGTCAAAGGATAACCATTCGTCTTCCTAATCCGCTATCACAAAAGATTTGAAGCAATAAAGAAGCAGATGACAAAAGCTCACTCGTTTCCCTTTTTTGTTGCAGATCAGCGGAAAAAAGAAAAATGGTGACGTCATAGTTCGACCGCGACCGCGCGACCAACCATGTGAACTATGAACAGGCTCAGCGCTGCGCTCACATGATTTCTATAAACAACTTCACGCACTCAACTACTAATACTAGCACACCGATACACTACGACAGCCAAGCGTTCGTCTTCAACACCGAAAATGTCAGTTTCCTTTACACCAAGACAAATGACAATCTTTACGAATATGACTACAAGCCGAACGGCACATTCGAAAATTCGAATTTCACGAATTCGAGCTTCGAAATGTCAAATGGGAATTTCACCGAGTATGCTGAGATCCCGTATTACATAAAGGCGACTTCTATGACATTCTGCATAGCCATCATGTGTCTGGGTGTGATAGGTAATGTAATGGTGCCAATAGTGATATTAAAGACTAAGGACATGAGAAATTCGACCAACATATTCTTGGTGAACTTGAGTATCGCGGACTTGATGGTGTTGTTGGTGTGTACGCCAACCGTGCTGGTGGAGGTCAATTCGAAGCCCGACACCTGGGTGCTGGGAAAGGAGTTGTGTGAGTAGAGATTTAAATTTTTTTTGAAGTGAAAACGTCTTTATCGGCTTTGTACACTTTTTTTTGTATGGGTAAAAAATGTTAAACTGGCGTCAAGTGAGCTGATCGCAGCATGACACACAATAAAATTGGAAAGGTTGTTGACTTTCAATATATTGAATGAAACATAGTAATATTTAATTTTACCGTATTATAATAAAGAGTCTCTATCTAGGACGTCGCACGTGGCAGCTTTATTGCGAAGAAAATGCATTTTTTGAAGTTATACTTCTTTAGGCGCGTTATGAAAAAATGATGAGAGTGAAATTTTAAGATGCGCGCGCATCACTGTAACACAAAATTTTAACATAATGAAGTTGGTTGGTTGGTTGGCTTTAGCGACCAACTTCATGCGTTACTTTTGTGTTTACCGCACATTAAGAAAATCTACCAACAAAATAGAAATAGAATCTCTATTTAGTGTGTGCTAATGACTGCATTGTGAAGGCCTATCAAAAGTATTTATTAATCTGGAACAACGGAACCAAAGCGCGTTTCAGGAGACTACAGCGCCATTTCTTGACCATTGGTGTAGTAGAACCAAAAACCACATCTTTATTTTTTGTAATAAAGTAACAGTTATAGGTATTCATATTTATAATATTTATCCACATGTTTCTAGTGTGTATATTCGGAATACGTGTTTGAGTTTCATACAAGTGCAAATCACATATGTTCTAATAAATTATATTCAGTAGCGATTTTAATTGAATATTTTGATTATTTATTTATTTTTTCAAATTAAAACTGAACTTTATAGACTTCGTCCTTTTCCAGACTTTTTATTAATTTATTGTAATTAATTATTTGCATGCAATTAAAAACTAATTTTAAACGATGCCAAAGAAGGATAACTTCTCACGCGCCTACATAAGTACACGCACCCATTTTTTTTACAATAGATGTCGCTAGGTGCGCTTAAACGTGATTCATGTAAGTTGATTTTTCTGAGAGATAAACTTTTTTAATGTAATATAAATTGTCATGTTTGTGTGTGTTGCGCGATAGCGCGATGGTATTTTTTTACTGATAATTAAAGCAACTCGTGCAAAATTATTCCCTAACCATTCCAAAATATCAAAAATGCACAACGTTAATATTCAAGTTTTCACTTTTGCCGGCACTCCCGGAGTGCAACCCGTCGTTTTTTTTAACTATAAGATCAGATTTATGAAACGATTTTCAGCGATAATTGTAACTAACAAGCTGTCTAATCTTATGTATTCTTAATCTACGCCTATTTAACTAATCACTGTTTCAGTTGACAGGGTTATCAAATTCAATTCAAAACTTGTATGGCAAGCACCATTTTGCGTGAGGTTTAAAGAAATTTATTCTCAAAGAAACTTACTTAAAACAAACACTCTACCATAGAGGTTTTAAAATAAACATATCTTTAAAATAACAACATTTAATAATAGGTGAAAAAAAAACTTTCGTGCCCATTTTTATACACGTTTTGCTCGTGTAAACAAGTATGACATTTTGGTTAATAAAAGTTTATGCGGAGTGCTTATATTTTTGTATAATATTAAAAGAAAAATTGTATTAAAATATGAAAATAAAAATACACAGTTTGATATGTATGGAACTCACGCACAAGAACTAAGTATAGCCTCGGCTAAGATAATTGTCCCACCGCCGCCGCCGGCGAGGAAGCGATTAACTATAGGCTATTTTCATGCTCAAGAAACGTACAATAAATGTAAATTCCGTGTAAATAAAATTTTATTATTGTATTATTTTTTATTTATTCGAACCACTTAACTTTTTGGTACGTGATAATCTGGAACCCAGCCCTCTGGAAAAGGTTACCCTGAGGACCAGAAGACAGTGCTCTCCCCACACTATTGTTAAGTTTACAATGTATTGTGGTTGCGGTTTAAATACGTAATTTATAGCTACAATAATTCATAAAAAAATAATGTATATGTATATATTAAAAAAGTACCTAGGTATAGCATTAACCGGTGTGCGCATATGTAAATTATAGTTGATTACTGACGTAACACACTGCCGGTAACAACTTGCTTTACTGTTTATCGCTGAGCGCCCAGCGAGATCTTTGATACTATATATACAGGGCGTCCCACGGCTACCTCACATGGAGGGAAAGTATATTAAATATTGAAGATAGGATATTTTACTGAAGGAAGACATCATTTTATTTTTAATAAAAACAAGAATTGCATTCACAGTTTTTTAAAAAATCGCCTGCTACAACTTGAAATCAAACACAGCATATTTTATGATAACCATCGAAAGGGTTTATCACAAGGGTTATTTTTTGCTAAATAACATAGCATTTTAAATGAAAGGAATACCTTATTACATTATAAAAACAATAAAGTGATATACAAACTGTAGTACCTACGTATGCATTTCTTTTTGAACTCACAGTTACAATGCGATTGGCTGAAATTTATAAAAATAATAATTCGAAAATTTAACACATAAATTTTCAAGCGTCTGCAATTTTATTTGTTTTTTTTTTTGTTAATTTACTTATCATGGCGTATCAAAATAAAATGGGTTTAATGGAAGGTTACTTTATGAACCACAAAGACGTAATTATTAGCTTTGCGGTGGTACCGCGAAAGATACCCTGATAGAACCGTACCTTCTCGATATGTGTTTAAAAGGTTAGTGGATACTCTAAGAAATTTAGGACGTTTAGATATGTGTTTACAGAAACCTCAGCAGCGGATGACTAACGTCAACGGTGATGAACTAAACATTTTAACTTATTGAGGCATATCCGATTTTATATTAGTTTGTTAAATAATTTTAAATAAAATGTTAAAGATAAGTTAAGATAAAATCTCTTTATTGCACAACACAGCCAAAAAACAAGCATATACAAAACAAGTAGAAAAATACAACATTGCACAAACGGCGATCTTATCGCTAATGAGCGATTTCTTCCATACAACCCAATGAGCTGGAAATAAAATAAGGTAAGCGAGTAAGGGAGGTTGTGCGGAACACAAGGCAAAAGTTTTCCTGATAATTAGGTAAGAAGAAGACGAAAAGGAGGAAAAAAAACTTAAAAAAAAACAATACAATAAGATAAATTTTAATATATAGGCACTCAGATACTTCACAACGCTACCGAAACCGGTAAGTTCTAATGCAAGATTTATGAAAAATTAAGTTCCTCCGACAAAAAGTGCTCCTTTAAATTTAATTACTTTAAATTAAATTTTAATCGTTAAATTAAATTACTATTCTTTTATTTAAGATGCTATGTTATTTAGCAAAAAATAATACTTATGATTTACCCTTTCGATAGTTATCTTAAAAAATATCGTGTTTTTTTCGAAATTTCACAAGTTTGAATCCTAGTTGTAGCAAGCGATTTTAAATAAAAAACTGTGTTTGCAGTTCTAATTAATATTAAAAATAAAACGATGTCTTCTTTCAGTAAAATACCCTATCTTCAATATTTAATATACTTTCCCTCCGTGTGAGGTAGCCGTGGGACGCCCTGTATACGGTGTTATCGCTGAGGTATCAGACTCAGCGATTGTCGCTCGGCGGCATGAGCCAAACAACCTCCCGTCTCGTACTCGCAGTCATTCGCAGACATTCGCTTAAAGCTCAGCGATAAAACTATCAGAACTGATAGGCGACCACTATTTATTATTATCGCAATAAATAAGTAGGTAGGTATTAGTGTTGTCAGGTTCGATTTGTTTTAAATCGGTACATGAGGTCAAAATAATCGGGATTTAGGGTTGCAGATCGGGACAGTAAACAAAAAACAAGGGCTTTTAAAGTCTGGGTTTAATTTATTGCGTTTTAAACTACAATTGTAGTATTATATTAATACAGTACAAGTGTAGTATTATATTAATTACCTAAATTTAATTTTTTGATTAATCGGGACATTTAGCGTCCCGATCAGGTACACTCGCGGAAAGACCCGCTCTGTCACCTATAATGCCATTATCGCTTGCGGTAGCGGCGTAGTAAAAAAAAATCATAAATAGACATGTAATTATCGCTGTCTTACTTTTTCGTATAGCGCTGTCGCGATCACGATGCGGATGACAAATTGCAACTAAAACAAATGCAATTCAATTCATTATTCAACCAATGAAATGCTCTCTGTCTTACATTTGTGCGGCAGCCCGGATTGGCGCGTCCGACGCGAAGGCGGGGCGTAGTAAAAACTACTGTAGAAAATCGTTCAAAGCATATTGTTCGCCAAGTGACAGAGCGCAAAATTCCGCGATAGTACAAATCGGAGCGCGTTCCCAGACCCCTGGAAATCGGGACACCTGGCAACACCAGTAGGTATTGTGTTATTTGTTCGGGGTGTATTATTTTAGCCTTTACTTTTACGGAGTTAAATTTGGAGAGTATTTTAAATATCAGCACATTAGCATTGTTGTTTCATTGTACCAAGGGGGTTTGACTCGGTGATTGCAGTTGAGCATTTTATTACAGACTGGCTGTCTCAATGTCGTTGTTTCTTGGTTGATTTATTGATGTAAGTAGTAAGTCTCAAATCTTTTGCTTGAATTTCAACTTAGAATTGAGAATTTTATTGCATTGTTAACTGCCCCGGCGGCGGCGGCGGCGGCGGCAGCGCTTATCGAAATATCTGACTCATTCATAAAATAACAAAAATACAATGGGATTACATTCATCATAATAACTGCTAATAAAGTCAATAAAACTCGTCACACCAGTAAGATATGAATGAATAATGGAAAAAAACGGTCAAGTTCATGTCGGTCTCGCATAAGAAGGATTTGAAATACTTACAGCAAAAAGCATATTTTTTATTGAGATTGCTTTTATTTTTATAATTCAAATTGGCAATTAAAATACTCTTAGCCTGCAAAGTTCAATGCGTCTTAAGAGATGGAGCCCAATCACATGATGACGGACGAACGGACGACAGCTAAGGCTTACTTGTTATCAAGTTTTGATGTCACTCTTTGGTCTTCTTA